TAAAACAGCAACTAGCCAGTGCTAAGGAAGAAATCAGTTCTCACTTGAAAGCCTTAGATGTTTCAAAGGATTGACATGATAAACAAAAGCAAGAATTATTGGATAAAATTCAAAGACTTGAAAGTGAGGTTGAATTCTTAAGAAAACAGCAGACTCAACAAGTTGCTCAAATTGAAGTTAAAGAAAATAAGAGATGACCTTGATTAAAAGTAAAAAAGTAATTTAAATATTGGTAAATTTATTAATTTTTCTTTATTTAGATACTTCCAGAGAGTTTGGGTATCATTGATTTTAAAAATGTAAAGGGCAACTTTCTCTCCTTGCTCTTTTTTTAAAATACTTCTAATAGTAATGGGTCCCGATCACTTTCTTATATCGCGAGCCACTTCTATAAATGTTTTTATACATACATAATCCTATAATACACATGTTACAATCACAAGTAAAAGTATGTACCAGTCACTATGGCATGGCTCAAAAAATGCATGTAAAAATTAATCCCTTTCCAAAATTTATATGGTTGTCTTCCCAGCCACACAACCATTATTGGTACATGTGATGAAATGTTCACTTTGTCTGATAATACACTAAGATCTTACTGCAACATCAATAGAAATGATTCATCCATACAAGCCCTAAATGTTACTTATTAATAGAACCATACGTATCACCCAAATGTTAACTCAAAACCAACCATTTTATATTCTGAATAGTATAGATGGCACCAGCAGAAGCACAACATGGAATCTTTCTCTCCGCAAGCATCATTGTTGGCGTTTCGTTCAACTGTCTGTGCCTGGTATGAAGATCTGAACAGAGCCGTTTTCTTTCAAAATATATAACAAAAAAAGGTCTCTCATAATGTCATACACTAAACTGACACAATCTATTGTCTAAAATGTCTCTCACACAACAGAAGTCAATCGGTCATGGACGATGAATGTGTTCTGTTCAATCATTTATAGAGGGAAAAAAAAGATAGATATTGGATTCCTAATCATAACTCCTCGACAACATCGCGCATTACCCCTTTCACTTGTGTTACTACTTTCTTCGTTGTTGTTCTCAGTTCTTCGTTGCCCTTCGCCGGATCGATGCTAAGATATATCCAGTATATACCAACAATGATTCCAAGGTATAACGCAAACCTTGCAAGCTTCATTACTGTCCCGAAGATGAAACGAACGAGAGCAAATGCAATATATAGCATTAGAAACAGACCGATCAGAATAACAAAATCGGTGTCTGCAACAGCTGTCTTTAGCGACTGAACAGCCTCCGACATGTTGAAAGAGTTTAGTGCGTACTGCCATGCTTCTTGGAGAACTTGAAGCCATTGGTCAAGTGTTAAGTCGAGCATTTGTATACAGCTTCAGTAAATATCGGTAAAATTGTCCCAAACTACGTGACCTTCTTCTTGATCCAAAAATCTATGCGTATTAGGAAAGCTCACTAAATAACCTTATAAATTTAATTAAAATTGTACAAAACAACAATTATCTATACCAAATATTCGTAGACGGGAAGTGCAAAGATAGGTTGACAATCGTCATCGAGCAAACGATCGGCAGATTTCACATAAATACCGGCTGCATCACTCATTCCCAATGAGTTGTCCCATAGTAATAGAGCATATCACTGTCACTGGATATACAATGCAGTCTTACTTGAAGAAACTATCGAACAATGCTTCCCAACTTTCAAGTAATGTATCTAGTCATCTTCCAAACTCTACCCTCTTCAACAGTCAACAAATAACCCACATAGATGCACAAACCAACCTACAGACTGATAGATTCCAACAGCAACCTTTTGGAGGCTTTTCGGCAGTTAGTTCACCGGGGACACTACAACCAGGAACACATTTATTGATCGGACGGCATCGAGTTATCATCGAGAGATACTTATCAGAAGGTACTTGAGCAATATACTGGCACGGCTTGATGAAACAAATTATTGCGAGTTGGCATTAATAGTTCGATTTTGCTTGAATAAGGCGGCTTTGCGCATGTTTATCTTGTGCGCCTCACTGAACCAGTGAACAATGAATACCAAGCTGTGCTTAAACGTATTGCTGTATCCGATAAATCTGGCTTCAATACTGTTCTAAACGAGGTCAATTTCATGGTAAGCAATTGGCTAATTTGAACTGTAAGGTGCTATTGAGATCGTTTGTCCAGAAAGCCGTCCGATGTGCTAAATAAGAGTTTGGTTTGTTTATAGAAAATGCTATACAACCATAAGAATATCGTGTATTTTATTGATTCTCATACTGGGACGTTGGGAAATGGGGGCTACGAAATATTTATATTGATGGAGTATTGTCGCGGTATGTCTGCCAGCACTGACTGTCAATCTCATCAATTCTATACTCATATACTTATTATCTCAGGGGGGCCTGTTATTGACCTTATGAATAGACGACTGCAACATCGCTTGACTGAAGTAGAAATACTCAAAATATTCCAAGATATATGTGAGGTGGCCCTACTTTTAATGAAAACATGCGGATTTTTTGACCGTTGCACCATGAACCTATTTTCTGAATTTCGTTTGGCATTTTAGGCGGTAGCCCACATGCATTATTCAAAACCTCCAATACTACATAGAGATCTGAAGGTAGGACGCCCCTTCGTCATTGCATGTTTACTTGGTGCTACTTGTCTAATCGATCTCTGCACGAAAGGTGGAGAATGTCCTCAGAGATCATAACAATACCTTTAAATTATGCGACTTTGGTTCGTGTACTGTAAACATGATCAAATCTGACACACCACGTACATGGCACGAATTGCAATTACTAGAAGAAGACCTACAGAAACACACCACATTGCAATATAGAGCTCCAGAAATGGTTGATGTGTATCAGAAACGTCCCATTGACGAGAAGTCTGGTAAGTATTTAGGACACATGTACTACATCACGATACGGTAGATATTATCACCTTGCTAAGAAACAACATTATGTAGATATTTGGGCCCTGGGAGTTCTCTTGTATAAGTTATGCTACTATACAACTCCGTTTGAAGACCAAGGACAGTTGGCTATTCTTAGTGCTCGTTATTCGATACCTCAATATCCTGTTTTCTCACAAGATCTCATCGGACTGATAGGTTAGTAAATGTATTCGTTGAGACTCGTGGCTGTCAATGAGAATCCTAACATGTGATACAACATTTAGAATCAATGTTAAAGGAGGATTCTTCATTACGACCGAATATTTACCAAATTACTAAGAGCGTTTGTACTTTGAGAGGAGTGGCGTGTCCAATAGTAAATGTATGGATTGTTTTCAATATAAGAAATTGCATCGCATAGTGTTTGAAGTTGTAGTCGTATCATTTGAGACTTAACATTGCTCTACATCGCAGATTTATCCGGAACAGCCCAACTTAAAGAATGTGTCGCAGCAGTCGATGTTGTCTTCGGGGGCGGTAGTTGTCACTACAAATTCGACACAGTACGACTATCAGAGCTATATGGGTACTAGTCCTTCTTATCCTATATTGAATAGTACAACGTCCAATATTATACCAATGCGTCGTGGTAGACCTGTGCGACAGAGTCAGAATTCTGTGGTTAACTCTTCAAGTTTTGTAAGCCGTACAGCACTGGATAAAGCGTTCAGCAGCAGCAACACGTTTGATCCGTTCAATGACCCGCAGTAGTGCTAATAGTCAATCGTTAATTTATTTGGTCGAACATTTATTCAACTGGTCGAGTGAACGTAAGATAAACGAAATATAGACAACCAATCAATTGGTTGACCAGTACTTTCTTAATAAAAAAGATCAGTATTTAATAAAATCATTGAAGAGACTATCAGATATGGGTGCAGCATTACACATTTGGCTTAACTACGATCTTTATTTCCAAGCTACGATATCCTGTTGACAGGCTCGCTAAAGCTAGTTTTAACATGACAGTAAGAGTCAGAGGTGAAACAAAGAAGTGGCCAACAGGAAGGCCATACATGGAAGAATTCTAATGAGAGTATTTGGCTTAACTACACTCCCTTGACAAAATATTGGCTGTTTACTGATAATCTGACAAGATTGGGAAATTATCAATCCGCTAAACTTTTCCATCGCATAGGTTTTTAATGGCAACTTGTAAAGCAGACCAGTTTTTTACTGGCCATTGTCTATTCAATTGTAATGACGTTCCTCGTTCTAATAATAGTAAATATATCGTAAACAGTCTTGTTCTTCTTTCTGTTTTCAATGTCACAAAAATTAATAAAACGAATTTCTATTCTATTCGAAATTAATTTTGGCTAATACTTTATATTTATAATACACAATGCTAATGCTTTCTATATAATTCAACAGACATTCCATAACATTAAACATCATTTCCACTATCGTCTTCCATTCTTTCCAAATCTTCTTCTTCCTCGTCTTCTTCTTCACTCTCATCTTCATTTGTATCGTTTGGCAACGTGACTGTTTTCTAACAGATGAAAAGGCATTAATATAATATATGCTGGCCGTTGTACAGAAGACATTCTGTACTTACCTCGATCAGCGTAAACTCGGTGCTTGGTATTAAGCCTCGTCCCCTGAAAGCCTCTCTTACATATGCATTTGAAGATATATCCCAAACGTGCACCTTGCCGTTGGATCCGGCCATTGCCAGCTGAAACGGCGAATCGGGACTGAATTTCGTTGTAAACACTTTACCCTATGAATGATACGAATAACATTATTATTCGGTTATAGATTACAATCTCAAATCTATTATACTCACCAGGTCAAAATTCCGGGACAAAACCATACCAGGTTTTCCTTCGTTTATATTCCAAATTTTCACTGTCTTGTCAGTAGACCCAGTCACAAAACATCCATTAATCGACGGATTCACATCCATACTAGACACCGCTGCATCGTGTGCATGAAGCCTAAACACTGCTCCGCCTGATCCATTTCTCACATCAAAATACTGTACCAAGCCATCTTCACTACTAACATAAAAACAGTATGGGGCAAATGGGTCCCAATGGACACATTCTGGATCAGCTCCTAGATTCCAAAGCGTAATGTTATCTGGAGCCCGGCTATCAAGAACAGTGACTGTCTTGTCATAAGATGCAGTCACAAATACAGTTGATTCAATTGGATGCCAGAGAACTGACTGGACCTTGTCTTTGTGATGCGTAAATGAGTGTGCTACCGATAGAGATGATAAATCCCAAAGTTTTACTGTTGTGTCTGCTGAAGAGGATGCAAGAATATTTCTAGGAGATTTTCGGAAATTATTAGTGATATGAGACTGAAAAAACATATCAGGCCTGGTAAGAAGATCTCATTAACTCATTTCACCTATGTAGCTTGTTCCATGACAGAGACATGATGGCGTCGACATGATAATCTGGATTGGGCTTCTATAATAATTAATATTTCTCTATTATTCCTTTTCATTAATCATGAGTACTTGTTGTAATAGTTTGGTTTCAATGTCTACCTTATTACGCTTTTTCTTTTTCCCCTTCCTACTTCCCATTTCTGCTTGACTTTTTCCTAGGATAGCATCGGGATACATAGGATCAATCACGTCTAGATTCCAAATCTCAATCTCTGGCTCGAACGTTCCAACAGCAACATAATTCCCGCCGCCTTCCATCTCCGCATTCCGTCCTAATCGGAAGTCTAACCATTCAAGACAGAGGGGAAATGAGGGTAATAATATGTCATGGTGTACATATAAGCTGTCTTCTTGTTCTCCATATACATAAATCTCTAATTGGGAGACATCATCTTCTGTTCTCGCAGCTATGATAAGATTGTCTGTTGGTAATATTTGCACGTCTGCATCATCTTCATTGGGCTAATTTGACAAAAGCTGGTGAGAAGCAGTAAAATACAAAGCAACAATTGGGGTATCTTTCCTAAAAACTTTTTCCACTACCTCATCATCGAGCGTTATATACGGATCTTCATCATTTGATGTATAATACGAAAGACTGTCAGAGTTCCCAAATATACTCAGTGCTAGAAAAAGAAACCGAGTGAGTCCGCATAAATCGTTCAAAGTTTTCAACCATTAACTGCCGACTAACATTGTCCCGATCCGCTCTTATCATAATCTTCCAAATGGTATTCATCCAATGCGGGATCGATCTCCGTTGTTTCTGCATTGGTAGTTTCATTGACGCTACATGCTTATTCCAATCAGATAAATATACTAGAATGTTTGTAACAGCATCAAACGAAATTTCCTTACTTTGCTGCTTCTTCCTCTACATCCTCAAGGTCCATCAACGAAAGCTTTTGAATTCGTTCAAATTCTTTCTCATCTAATTCATACCTCTAAGGTATATAGCAGGAATGATTAAGACGCTCCCGATCGCGATGATACGCCAAATCTTACATAGAAAACTACCTCTGGTCGCTCGCTACTTATCCCTTTGCGCACCCACAGTATGGCGGATATCATGATTTCCAAGAAGTCTGCGTTTTCGGAGAAAAAATTCGAGGAATTTGAAATTTAACTCGATCGAAGGTCGCACTGATGATGTCACAAATTTAAAATTTTTCGTTTACAGAGAATTCGCGTAATACTACTAAGCTTGCACTCGTAACCAACTTGTCAATCTTCTTAATTATTACTTTGTGGCATTTGCGACGAGGTTGCTTTAATCCACCTTGTTTTCGCCAGAAAGTAGGCATGGAATAGTCTATCAAAATGCACACGTTCTAGCATGTAATTCTTCTCTTGATATAGGCTGACATATCAGTACGATGCGACTGCTTCAAGACATTATTAATAATAAATTCACAATAAGCTTTGATTTCCCATATTTAAATGATTTATTATATCATACATGTACTGTATGTCGGATCTTGGGAAGAAGTCATTGCATTCGCAACGCAAGCCAGCTGTCATTCACACTGAATAACATTTGTAATAGGTGATTGCACTTTTAATTATGTGGCAATTTTCAGTATGTACCTATTCAAAAGCGGTTGTCTGGCAGAGGAGATTTTCTTAAGGTTATTGAGCCTCGCTGAAATTAATATTAATATTGCTTGATTAACTAGTTGAATATCAACGGACACAACAAATTTAAGAGAACGTGCCTTGTTTACAAGATTTGGGCATTGTTGTATTTAAAATAACTAGTGTCAAAATTCAAGAACGACATTCAAAAGTGAGCGGCTATCGTATACAAATTAGCCAGGGCATCAAAAAAAAAAATGCGAATCTTGTCATTAAAAGGTGTGTCGTGTCAGTATTATTAGTTAGATATTAACAACATTCATATTAATATCAAATAAATATACTATGGATCTTCGGTAGTGGAATTAAGTAAATGTACTGTCTACGTATATTGAATCGAACACATTTACTATAAAAAAGACGCGTCGAATGTAGTTCTTTGTCTAAGAATTATTGTAGCTGTTGCTTCAACAGTAGCAAAAAGCGCAGCGACACGTAGTTTTGAAGAGTACGCGTTAAAAGCTGACATTAAGAAATAGCTCTGTTGGTTTCAGATAAGATAGCCAGAATTTATTGAACTATTTACATCGGTCGAATAATTTAAGCGTAAATAATTCTGTGTAGATTAGATATTTATAATGTCAGATAAGAAGGAGCAAGTCGATTCCCTAAGAGATGACAGTCTGCAGGGTTATAGATCGATCGTGTATTAATAATGCAGTCAACCTCTCTAAATGCAATGCATCGGGATCATATGGACATACTTGTTTACTTAATGGGTCTTATAAACCAGAGCTTGCATTTAGAGAGGTTGCATTTAGTGAAGATTGACGGCGAATCTATTATTATAGGTAGCTTGTCCTTGTTCGATAATATCTGACTCACTGTTCTCATCGTTATTAAATGTGAAATTGTTTGTTTTTTTTTGAAAATTGAGGAATGGATAGACCCCGAAAATTTTCGATTATGAGTTGACAACTTTTCTTCTACAATTTATTGAAAAGCAAGACTTGCTCGCTTAGCATCAAGTCTATTAGTCTATTTTTGTTAAATGTAGCAGCGTATCCATCACGAGAGTTTCGCATTTGGAAGATTATTTTGACTTGCGAATTTCTTCGTCCTTGGCTAATTCTCGTTCTACTCGTTTCATTAATATTATTTATAACTATTTAAATATTCATCTAGATCTTCTTTTGTTATTTTTACTTCTTCTATTTCCAACAATAGATCCGATTCTTCCTTACTAGCATCTTCGTGTACTAATATATCCCACGTCTGCTCTTTCTCTAGCTCTGCTATTCGTTCCTCCATTTGTTTAATCTGTCTTATTAGCTCTGTATTTTGGTTTTGCATAGCCTTTAGATCTCGAAGAGCCTGGTTTTTTTCGCCTATTAATTTCTGGAATTTGTTCTGGACTTGTTTCAGGGCTTCTGCCAATTCACTTCTCTTTGTTTCTAATTAAACATTTTATGATTAGTTTCCAGGTATTTGTTCTAACTTCTGGTTTTCACAACTTCTACATGTTAGTTGGCTTCTATTTTTCTTCATTCGTCACGTTTACATGGTCTATTACCGTTCTCACAATACGTTCTTGTGCACCCAACGTGAAGAACTAGTTCTATATCTGATTGCTTATTTTCGAATTCTCCTTCTCTCTCTTTCATCCTTTTTTTTTCTCTGTTTTCTTTCATAATTATACATTACAAATCATCTCCACCATATTCATACCTTTACAACGCATCGGTTTTGAGCAAATATTACATGTGTTAAAAATTTTCGCTTTCTTTCCCCTTCCAAGTCGTGCGAAATCTCTAATCAATCTTTTGCAACGACAGCGAGAGCAATGTTTACTAGCTAAAGAAACGGATATATACAATAAATTTGAATGCCGTTTAAACGTGAGTTGAACGAACGGTGTTTATAAAATATACAAACCAACAATGTTTACGTTATCAGTCATTATTATCTATCGGTAAATAAATACGGTTTCACGCTTATCGACAGTCAACTTTTTAGCACAACAAAATGATCGACTTTGATACTTATAGGCCGCTGTGTACGCGTCTTTGTTATTGTTAATCGATATAAAACAAAAGTAACAATATCAATCACGAATCTTAATAATACTGAACTTACTACAGGCGACACAGGTATCTGTGTAACAACCATAGTTTAGTGTTTGTATTCCATATTCAGCATACATTAATGTAGAAGTTTATTTAAACACGGCTTCAACTAAGCCTCAATAACAAACGCGAGGTTTGTGTATCAATAAAAATTGACACTTCTTTGGAATCACCGACCACACGTAAACCTTCTGTATAGTCACCAGTTTAGTTTACTGTTGCTGGGTTGTTCTAAAAACTACAAATCATAATAAAATCACATGACATTTACCCAATAAGATGTTCTGAAATCACCTGTTTCGATCGCTTTTACAGCAGGCGAAGTGTTGATGTAAACCATAACTAATAATATATTTATTTATTTATATTATTATTATTGCTTTGTGGTACACCAAATGATGCGACAAAAACACGTCTAGCACGTTCAATATTGAGTTCCTACTACAATCTTTACCAATATACAAAGCAAAGACTTGATTTCTCCAGTAGAGATTTAGCAGTTTTCAATAAACAGTCAAGCGATTGCCCACTGTATATAAACGGTTAGTCTTGATCACGGGAATTTAAGAAACGAACCAATCGTATAAATCCGCGTATGCCTTCGGCAAGAATCTTATTACGGTTAGTTAAAATCTTCGGCTTTACCTTTAGTATTAGTGTATTGAGAAACGAGATCACGAATCACGTGATAAAATTTGCTGTGTGAAACATTACAATCACATGTCATCGGCAACATATCTTATTACCACATAGTTTTTCAGCTTAGGACGTGGTTGAGAGATCTCTAGTCTATCATTATGGTAATTATGATCTTACACAGTCGCTCCAGACTCAACTAAATCAAATATATGTGTTGTTCTTGTTCTGGTTTCAGCGTCCTCTCTTGTCGTCATTGTTATTGCCTTGGTCGATGACCATACTTACTAAGCATTCAAATCGCTCTTTGCAGATTCTCAACTTAGTCCTTATCTTTGGTATCGTCCAAGTCCTTCGCAAGTTAGATCTTGAGGATCCTATAATTATCACATATATACGACTAGCTTATTTTGCCTCACAACTCATTGTTTTAGCAATATACTATGTAATCGGTCTCAAGATAGAGAAGAGCAATGGTAACTGTTACGTTTATGCCTGAGGAGCAATTTTATGTTTGGAAATCCGCTTCTATTAATCCGATTTTTTTATTATCAATATGCGATAGATGAAACAACTTTAAAGTATGTTGAACCCGCAAAGCCGCTTACCAACGAGCAGCCCAAGTCTGTGAAGACGAATTATCGCGACTATGATCGCGAGAAATTGAAGGAAGCTCTGAGATCCGCTCTAACAGGAGCTGGCGTCTTGATGGCATTTCACCTCTATTTTGGTTTCACACAACCGTTAGCTATCCAATCTATTATGTCAGTAAAGGCAGCATTCCAATTACCTCTCGCTCAGATTCATATCTTGGGACAAAAAGCTGAAGGCGATCTTAGAAGACCTTGGAAGAATCCGAATCCGTTTGCTATTGGTGATGCTAATCAACCACAGGTTGATAAGCAGGCGATAAAACGGGCGGAGAAAGCTGAGAAGAATGCGAAGAACAAGGACGATTAATGCAATAATGGAACAATATACTCGCATATGAAGTGTATTTCATACAAAAATCTTGTTGCCAGATCTTTATCATACAGAATTTATCAATATTACTTGTAATTGTTTATCGATGTTTACTAAAAGCTGTGTAGTTGAAGCTTGCTTTTCTAGATGTGACAAATTTGCTTTTTGCACCTGCAATCGTCACGCTATACAATGATTTCACTTTTAATTGAGTAGCTTAATAAAATTCCAAGCGATCCGGATATGCTTGTATTAATAGAATTCGTACGTTTTGATATAGTACAGCAGATATCGAAAATAAATTCGAAACTAATTCCTTTTCTATAAATCTTTGGTCCCTCTATAACTTGTATTGCATATAAATTATGTATACCAGTAGCTGTCTTTTCTATGAAGAGGTTAGGCGTCCCCAGCATGTAAACATAAATCTCGCTCTTAGCCTGAATGCAAGCAACACAGCCTTGTAATTCTTTATTCCTTTCCCATAGCTTCAGTCCTCCGGAGGCCACGCTAATTCAACGTCAAGAACATCCAGCTCTAATATATCTGCATCACAGCCAACTAATTTACCCAAACTGGGTGTTGTTCTGCCCAGATCACCGTGAATAAATTCTTTAATGTAGCTTAATTTGTAACACAAGCTAAGGAAAGAGATTATAAATACAACAAAAATTGAGTAGAGATTTAATTCAAAAGAAGGATACGTTCCAGCTTCTGTTCTTAGCTCAATGCGTAGGAAATGTTCCTCAAGCGCTTCAGCAAAAAGAGTATGTATCTTTTTTTTGCGAACCATTAACGCGCGTCTATTCATAGATTTTATTATATACATTGCGCCAGGTTGATTGATTTATGGTCAAAGCCAACGTTTGGTTACCTTTGCAGTACACGAATTGGTGTCCATTGATCAATAGTAATGCCTGAATTTCCGATTTCATTTAGCTTATTCACCATCTCTGTAGTGACCATCTCTGAAAGCCATACTAGCATACTTGTAAAGATATACAGTATAAGTTGATAATTTATGTACAGACGCCTTCATCATAGCTCACCTGTATTTTTTCACCTTAGATTCCTCGCCTACTTTGATGGTAGGCAGGTGACATCTATAAAACAGAAATGCTATTATTGATGGTTCCAAGTAAAGAATAATTATGCATGTACTTACTCATCTATACGCTTTAGCTTGTGAACGCGTATGAATTTCCCGGATCGTTCAGCAATTTCCATTTCAGCATCATTCAGTTCATGCTGTGACAAACACCGTTCCCTTGGGTTAATTAATCCTAAATAGAAAGGTCGCCCATTACCAAGCATCCTGACGTTTGCATCTTCTCTGCCAGAAGAAACAAAGTTATAGTCTGGAAAAACGTGAGACGATTGAGTAACTAACGGATCGCGTATGATGCTTAATAGATAAAGATACGACAGGAATATTAACCAAGTATCTTATCTCCTTTGCAAATTAGCTAATCCTACCATCACATCTGTATTTTTCTCTCAATATTTCACCAATACATTCCGACACTGACTTCTCAGTTAATCGTGAGCCGCTGACGACCCAAGGGGTTTGACTGATGTCTCGAGAGAGTTTGAGATATCTACCTGTTGATGAGATAATGAAAACAAGTCAGTAAGAATATTCAAACAGAAGATCCCTCTGCTGATAGCATACAGACCTCCAACAAAAATAGGAGAGTGTTCTAATCGAATCGTTAAAATTTGGAATCGTTCTGTGACTGCCGCTGGAGGATACTCGCCATATCTAACAATACAAGAAAAGTAAGACAATGGTTTAGAGGGAAATACACAATAGATTCATACCTACTCAATGAAATCATTGTCACTAGTAATAGCCAGAGCTTTCACGATGTTTTGCCGAGAATCACCCGTCCATACATCCTTTCCCTGTTTATGAATTAGCAACAAATTGCACACTCGACTCAATCTCCATTAACAACCCCTTCCCATACCTTCACTTTCATCTTCTTCAATTGGAAGTTCGCAGAAGATACTCTGGTCAAAAAACGATGATTCTCTTGGGTTCCTGGATGACAATATTCAACTGTTATCAAGAATTTACTATCAGATGAATATTGTAATCCAAGAACTTCCTGAATCGATAATCCCAATAGCGACTTGTATGGGATTTTCAAATCAACAACATAGTCGCCAGTAAATCTTATCTTAAATTACGTTAGTAAACCACATTCTTTCGGGCCATATATACATAACAGGGGCATAGCAATCGCATAAAACTACTTACGCCGATAGTCGTTGTATTCGGATTAAAGCCGAATGATTCTTCACAATAACACCAGAAGGAACGATTACGTTCAGATTGAAATCTGTCACCTTGTAATCGTGCGCGTAGTACTTCTCACAAATTGGCCAGACACAGTCGAGTTTATCTGCAAAACGAAGAAGATCAAAGCATAAAGGGCATATAGTTGGACTTTCGTATGGCGAGATAATCTCTTCCGCAGTATACACATTTGCACGCGTTTCAGACGGCGGTTCGACATCAACATTTGCACATATTCGGTGAAAGGTTTCAAACAATAGCTGGGTAAGCAGTAAAAAGTATTAAAGAACAGAAAATATATGTCAATGGGAGAGCTTGTTCGAAAAGGACATACCTCTTCCGGTGCTGAATAAACATTCCAATCTCTTATTGACAGGAACCTCAGCACACACCGAGCACAGGTTGATATGTCTGATAGGACATTTATAATATCTCGCGATATTTTGTCATGACACGTTTTTTGTAGCTCTGAAGTTACCTTTTGGTAAAGAAAGTCGACACCTGAGTTGTGTCAGCGATTCAAAATTTGCTGTAGCATTGCATAATGTCTATCAAAGCATAACTAAGATACCTTCACTGAAGGACGAATTCTCAGTCTTTATTCTTTTCCATTTGTCTGTTTCTGGAGGCAGGGCGACAGACATTAGGGCTACATTGAGGAAAATAATAAGAATGAAGTGCTGGTATAATTGATTTATATTTCGTTTGAAACAACAAAATACCATGGTCGTCACTCCATAGTCTCTTTTTAGACATGTCTGAAAGGCTTTCTGTTGAATATTGAATGCAAGACGAATGAGTATTTGGTAACTCTGTCCATGTTAATATCTTGTCCATGACAGATGACAATAGCGTTCTCTAGTCTTTTGAGCATGCTTTGATGATTCTTAGAAAAATAGATAGACCATTGCAACTCTTCACAAATGCATATTCTCTCCATATTAAAGATTATAGGCTGACCACAGGCCATTTTATAGTCCTGTGAAAAGATAAATCACTTTTGAAGAACAACAGAAGAACCTTAAGACTTACAGTTTTTATATTCCTGGCTTTAAGATGGTTAATTAAAATTACCTTATTTCATATATGATCCAATCATAAAATGTGAGTAACATAGCAAAGAGATAGTTTAATATTATTATTAGTAGAAAACAAACTCACGTGACTATACTTTCTTAATTATGTATGGTGCGCCAGAAATCTTTTACTAGTGTAAGTTGGTTTTTTGACTCATGACATTTAGTGTATTTTATTAATCGATGTACCCCCTTCATCAATAGTACGGACTGATTAATACAAGTCTCCTACCAAGACACACGACACTCATCTAGTTCGCAGAAACCTAAATGCGAAGTTATAGCCTTTTTGGAAAAGTGCAAGTATGAGAGAAGGGAGGCAATCATTTCGTCGACAATTATTTCACCGACAATCATTTCACCGACAAATCTTCACCAACATTATTTCGAAGTTATCCTTTTTTGGTAGTTAATTGTCGGTGAAATGTACTGTCGGTGAAATGATTGTCGATGAAATAATACGGACCCTGAGAGAAGAAGTACTTGAAACATCAATTTTGACCCTGCAAATGAAGAAAACGGGTTTCGGGGGAAAAAATATGGTTATTAACCAAGAGCTGCTCGATAAAGAATATAACAAGGTAAGACAACCCTATTTACATTTCATGCATCAGCTCTTATTTAATCATTTATCAAATGGATACCGCTCTTTTGGAGCTTTGAAGGAACATTCAAAACTCAAGTACTGACCTCTGGTGGAAAATATCTCATCTCCGCCTGCCAGTAGGGATCAGTGTCCAACAATATGCCCCAGAAGGCTCTTCATGTCCCTGGTGTGAAAACATTGTCCTCACCAACAAGCCTTACACTACAAAATATTGCGCTGTGTTACCACTTCACGTACCTATTTATCGTGAATCTTATTCTATTCCTCTAATTTCAAAGCAACCGAATGTACAGAGGATACTCTTTCACTCTAGTCAAGTCAATTACAATGAACCGCCGACCCTGCAAATTCTTATCGATTACATCAACAGCATTACGCCAATTTTTTGTATAACGTCTAACAGTATCAACTCGTCATTTTTTATATAGCGTGCTCCGCCTTTTTTTCCGTTAAACATCCGATACATCTTGTCTCCAAGTAGAAGACTGACAATCATATTCGTTTTTCCTGATTTAGTTCGTCCGCTGACCAGCAAATTGAAAGGCCATTGGGCGTCGAATTGAGACCGTTAAATCTCTACACTCGTCAATGTGATAAACGAACATTTCGCACCGATCAAGCTTTTCAGCGTGAGATTGATGAAGTTTATTGCGTGACATTTTTGTACGGCCAAATAATAAACATTATGATCTTTAACAGAAAAATTATTCAATATTTATATTGGTAATGTGTTTAATTTTCTCGTTCAGGTTTTAATTGCGATGCAAATACTATATTAACAGTACGCTCCTTATGAAAAGAAGTGCTAAAACATCATGTCACCAATAAGAAACAGTCAACGTTAGACGACCAGAATGTAGTTTGTATTATCATTGAATCTTTTTTATAATTCTTGATATTAACGATAACTTGCTATAACGATGAAAACATGACCTAACGGAAGTGTACATATATGGCATACTGCGGCGTCAACACAAATTGTACTATTGGTGAAACAACGAAAACATAATTA